TTATATATATTTATATATATATATATATATATATATATATTAAAAACGTCACCACAATATTAATTGTAAGATTAAAGAAAATATATGCATAAATTATGTTCTTTTAATTACTCTAATGAAAATATAAATGCTTCTTGGAGTGTCCACGTCTTTATAACAATTTAATGTCATTTGTCCATATGTATTCAACATTCTTAATATTAAAAAAATAAATAAAACAAATATCACTGGTTAATTTGACTCAAAAAGATTAGGAAAATCCAATTGATTTAATTTCTCCAAACTCAGGAAAAACATAAAAAAAGCCACTGTCATCTTAAAATGAAAGAGATGATCTTGTAGTTCTTGGTCTGGATGGAAATAAAGTATATTTTCATTACATGATTTATTAGATAATGAAAACAGAAGATGTGAAAAACTATTTCAAACTCAAAAAAATTACAAAAATAAACAGTTCAAAAAAGCTCATGCTAACTTAAGGAAAGTTCAAACAGAAACAGAAAGAGTTGTCTCGCACTTCTAAATATTCTCTACATACCCACCTATGTCGGTTTCAGGTGCAAGTACCATTTGTTGAATATCGCTTGAGCTTTTTTGGGGGAGTATGACACAGATTACTTCAACTCTGTAAATCGGGTTTTGCACGAGAATGGGCAAATTTGCCTACTATATTACCAAAATAGGCAAAGTCAAACAAATTTACGTAAATGGGGAAGTCGTGGGGGGCCCAAACGACTTCAAATGAAGAAGTCGTGCCCCCCTGCACGACTTCACACTGTAGATTACTACAGTGCTGAAGTCGTGCACCCCAAAAACGACTTCAGAGGACTGTAATCGATTACAGTGTGCTGGTAATCGATTACAACGTGTTGAAATCGTGGTCACCCAGCACGACTTCAACTTGAATGGGAAAAATGCACTGGTAATCGATTACGGCAGGTGTGTAATCGATTACCAGGTTGTTTTTTGTGGAAGATTGACACTGGTAAGCGATTACAGGGTCGTGGTAATCGATTACCAGTGTGTTTTTGGTTGATTTATGAAATTTTGTATTGTAATTGTGGTGGATATTTTGAAGTATATTAAGTGTGTTGATATGAAGTTGTGTAAGCACGCATCGTTGTTAATTACATTGTGATGTATTGTTTTGTATAGGAAGAGTATATCATTTGATTTAATAAAAATAAGAGAATATCATAATATGAAAAGACAAAGTATTTTATTGAATGAAAAGTGCATTACATAAAGAAGAACAACCTAAAATGTAAAGAAAATGACAGTAGAAATTGAAAGGCATCTAGGAAGATGATCCACCGTGTGGACCAAAATGACGACGCAGATACTGGATGTCGTGCTCCACATTTTCAACTCTAGCATCAATAGTATCGAACCGGTCACCCATATTCAGCTCCAATTGTTCAAATCTTGCATTCATCGTTTCATAAGTGTATTGAAGCTGTCCCCAACAAATGTTCGGAGATCGTTTATCCCCGTCATGACATCATCAAATCTACTAGTTTGTTCTGGACGAACTGGTGGTAGTTGTAGTTCAGGAGGTGGGTGACGCTGACGTGGAGGAGGAGAATTTCTGTGCACCCATCTGTTGTCAGCATTTTGGATCAGTCCAAATGATTGTATGACTGCTCCTGATATCATCCAATGCCTAGTTGGTGGGACCGATATTTCATCCTCCAGTGGAACTTGAAAATGTTCCAAGATGCGGGTGACCAATGTTGGATATGGAAGTGGAGCACCGTCCCTCAAAGCCTTCTTCATCCTATGTCGGATGAGATGGGTCCAGTTGATCTGCTTTGCCGTCATTATAACCCACATTATCAGAATATCTTCCTCGGTTGCCTGTGCAAAGTTAGAAACACGAGGAAACAAAACACGACATATAGTATAATGTAATACTCTAGCCTCAGTTGTCATATTCCCTGCTAGAAATCTAGTGGTAGGGCGATTGTGTGGCAAACAAATTAATTGTCTGGCTACGTTCATATTGAAATCATTGGCCCAATCCTCACATAATTTCCCTTCAAAGGGCAACCCAACCGAGGGAAGATTGGCTATAGCAGCGAAAATGCTGGGTTTGATAATAATTTGGACATTGTTGACCTCAGTTTTCATTGTGCCATTTTCAGAAAATTTGAGGTTACTATAAAATAGACGTACCAAATGAGGATTATATGGACTAAAATCGCAGCAAAATTCATCTAATCCCAAATTTTTTAGCATGCCAAAAAATTCAAAATCATGTGTCTCAAAATACTGCTCATCTAGATATTTTGGCTCAATGATTAGGCGGTCTTTGTATAGAGAAAAATACCTTTGGGCTTGTGCAGGAGTTGAAAACTGAACATTGTGGTGTTCAGCGGTGGGTGACGGTGGTGGTGAGGGTGGCGGAGAGTTTTGTGGCGGTGAAGGTTGACGGCGGCGACGTCACCCAACTGTAGAAGATGACCCCCTTACTCTTTGCCTTTTTAAAGATTCCGCCATTTCAAAATCCAATCGGTGCAAAGTGAAGAGAATTGAAAGGGGAGTGAAGTTAAGGTGTTTTAGAGTGAAAAAGGTGGAAGATTAGATGATTTTTGGAGGTTGGAGAGGGTGGAAAAACCCTTGTTGCCGCTGCTGCTCGAGTGGGAGGGGGTGTTGGTGCGTGAGGAGAGAGAAAAAGTTGAATATATAGAGTCTGGTCGGACGAGTATCGATTACAGGTTTTCCGTAATCGATTACAAGAGCCCACTGGTAATCGATTACCAAAACCATGTAATCGATTACCAGTCAGTCTGGTAAGGCCCAGTTTAAAAAATCCTGGAAGTCCTATGAGTGTTATTGTGGTAATCGATTACGGACTTCATGTAATCGATTAACAGTCAGTCTTGGCTGTGGATTTGGAAAATTTTTGACCTGTTACGTTAAATTAGTTATTGAATGCATTATGTATTAAAATTCCNGTTCTCTAGGAACTCCTAGATCGAACTCCTATCACTCACGGTTTGGTTTAGCCTTACCAGGTTCTAATTGTAAGACCCGGATAAAATAAAAATATCTATTTTTTATTTTATATTTTCTAATATTGGATATATAATTATGGTATGATATTGGGTTGTTTATTAGCCAATAGAGTTTCTTTTTGGATTGAAGAGAGAGAAAATTACATGGTATGGTAACAAAGGGCAGCGTGCATCTTTAGTTTTGTTGGCTTTCAGGTGCTTGGCTTTCTTTTCTTTGGATTTGTAGCCAGAGAATTGTATTTTCTTTAAGGTTTCCTTGCAGGTGTTTAACGTTAGGGGAAGGGTTTAGACATTTCTGGGTAACCATGGGTATTGACCCTTTGACTGGAGAGAGGAAATGCATCCCCATGCATTTTATTTTTGAACCAGAAGAGAGAAATTGGGTACACTTCTTGGATGGTTAAGGGAAGAGAGAGAGGCGTGGGGTCTAGTGCTCTTGAGTGACGTTTGGAGAACTTATTTCTCTCCTTTTGGCTTTTGCACGAGAATGGGCAAATTTGCCTATAATATTACCAAAATGGGCAAATTCAACCAAATTTACGTAAATGGGGAAGTCGTGGGGGGTCCAAACGACTTCAAATGAAGAAGTCGTGCCCCCCCTGCACGACTTCACACTGTAGATTACTACAGTGCTGAAGTCGTGCACCCCAAAAACGACTT